GGGACTTAAAGGGCCGCGACGCGGCGGCGGCGGCCGAAGCGCGCCATCGGGTGCCCACCACCGAGCTGTGCAGACCTCCGGGGCCCGCGCCCGCCTCGGCCCCCGCGGAGCTGCCCGGCGACGGCCGCATGGTGCAGCTGAGCCCACCCGCGCTGGCGGCCCCCGCCGCCCCCGGTCGCGCGCTGCTCTACAGCCTCAGCCAGCCGCTGGCCTCGCTCGGCAGGTCAGGGCCGCGGCGGGAGGGGACGGGGTGGGCGGGCGGCACCCCGGGAAGCATCCTGCCGGGGCGCCCCTTGTGCCCCTCGGAGCGACCGCGCTTAGCGGCGGGAGCGCAGGAAGGGAAGGGAGTAGTAGACCCGAGGGCGGAAAAGTCTGCTCGCTGGAGCCCGTGCGCGAGCAGACGGGAGCCCTTTGTGGGAGTGTGCGTGTGCGCGGGGCCGGGGGTGGCGTGACCCGTGCGTGTGCGGCCTGCATGGGTGTGCGTGAGCCCGCGAGGGGTCCACGTCTTCGGGCGTGCAGGCATGTGGCCGGCAGTGAGTGGAAGCGCGCTGGCTGTGCTGGGTGTTGGTGGTGTGTGCGTGCGTGGTGGCTAGTGGCCCGAAGGGAGCCGCTGGAGTGTGAGTACCGGGCAAGAATGTGTCTGAATGCGCTCCGCTGTGAGATTCTTCTGGAAACTGCAGCCTTCAGTGGACAGGTAAGAGATACGGAGCTGATGGTCGTTGCAAGAGGGTCCCCTCTTCGGAAACTGCTTCAGGGCGCATCTGGGGAGTGGATCCCTCCCTCTCCTCCTGAGCCCCTCCTGAGCCCCTCTGCCCCTCGGCCGGGCTGGGCAGGGCGGCGGTGGGGGGGGGGGGCGCGGTGTATACCCCTCTCGGTGTGAGGGTGTCCATTTTCCTGCTGGGGCCACTGAGATGGCGGGGAGATAGAGGTAGAGGTGGCGCGCAGACAGGAAGATGAGGCAGGGGTTGATAATGTGGGCCAGTTATTGAGTTTGTGGGAGACCCCGAGAAAGAAGCCATGGAAAGCACAGAGTGGGTGATGGGGGGGGGGCATGTAAACAGTGGTGAGTCAAGGTTTCCTTTCTGTTGAATGTCGGCGGCCCCCATGGGACCCCCGATGAAGGTGGGGCGATCTGGGGGGAAAGGGATGGTGTGCCTTGTGAGGGGCTAGCGTTGCACAGCACACGAGGTATGAAGGCCACATCTGCCTGTATGAGTACCTGTTTGGGAGGGGAGGTGTCTGGGGATCCTGTGCTTGTACCGGGAAGGGGAGTATGCCTGCCTGTGAGTTGCATGTGTGTTCATTATTGCATTTGTTCCATGTGTTCACTTATCATTTGTGTGGGGGGAGGGGTGTGTGGGAGTGTGGTCCCTCCTCCCCTTGCTTGTCTCACCGGGGAGAGAGGGTGGGAGCATTCTGTGAGTGTGTTTGGGTGTGTGTGTGATGCTCCTTCTATTCCAAACTCAGGTGTGAAGGGAGCAGGAGCCCCCTTGTTTTCCCAAGGGTGGTGGGAGGCTCAAGAACACGTGGGGAGGATCGCTGAGGAGGCTTTCTCCCCTCCACCTACGTGTGATCTTGTGATCTGCCTGCTCCCTCCCACAGTGGGTTCTTTGGGGAGCCAGATGCCTTCCCTATGTTCGCCACCAACAACCGAGTGAAGAGGAGGCCCTCCCCTTATGAGATGGAGATTACTGATGGTGAGTCTACCTGCTTCCACCTTTGTGTCATCCCTCATGCTCCTTAGAGCCCCTTGAAGGTGGGATCCTTGGGCACTACTCCATGGGTGTCTCACATAGCTGGGTTGGCTGCCTTGGAACCCGAGTCTGCCAGAATCCTCACCCTGCAACTAGACCTGGGACTAGGGAAAGTCATGGGTGGGGCTGGGGGCCACCCTCATGGTCCTGGGAAGAGGGAAGTGGTGCTGAGGACACACTGAGGCATTTAGCCCAAACCCCTGGAGTCAGTTGTAGTCCCCACTGTAGCTCCGTTCCAACCCCTGGCAAGAATCGCAGGCGGAGGGCAGAACACGTGGTGCTCCCTGCCTCTAAGCGCTGCCCCTCAGGGATTTCGTGCACCTCCCAAGTCCTTTTTGGAGTCTGGAGTCTGCTCCCTGCCTGGAATTGCACATTTAAGGGCCTTGTCCCAGGACCCTATATTGTGGGGCCATCTCGTCTCCGTTCCACACCCAGAGCTGAGAACTGGAGTTCCCTTCCTGACATCCTAGATTCCCCGAGAAGGTCCTTGGCACTACTACAGTGAACTACCCGAGTAATCTTTGGCACTTAACTTGGGGGAAGGGGTTGGATGAATGGGAAATTTGGAGTATCCCCTCCCTCTCCCCAGTGTTGATCTGATGCAGTAGATGGGACCCAACACCAGGGGGCAGGAGAGCAGGCTCTTCCAGAGCCCAGGACTTGGAGCCAATCCCTGGAGCCTCCAGTGCTTCAGCCTGGCTGGGGCCTGGGGCTCCAGTAGGAAGGGCACCTGAGGCCTTGAAGCCACACTGGGTTTATTCAAGGAGCCAGTAAGAGGGATATGTATTGAGCTGGAGCTTCTGGAGAGGAGTCCTCTGTGGTGTTCTGGAGGGGAGGGGGCCTAGAGTCTGGACAAGGAACAGGCCTCATAAGACCTGATCAGCCTGGGATATGGGGTGTAGGTCCAAGAGGGAAGGGTGATGACGTGTCAGTGCTGTTAGGTTAGAGAGGGGAGGTGGGTATACCAAACAGGAAATAGGCAGAACCAGTCCCGAAGTTCCCCAGGGAAGAGGCATTTTCTGCAGAGGGCAGAAGCAGCGACAATCAGGCATAAAAGAGAGGAAGGAGGAGAGGGGCAAGAGGGTGAGGATTTGGGGGGAGCACAGACGTATAGGGAAACCATTACTCATAAATGTCACTAACATTTACTGAGCACCTACTCAGTACCTGGCCACGGAGAGTCAGAGGGTGCAGAGGGATGGACAGACTGGGGGAAGAGGAGGGTGTGGAGAGGTGGGAGGTTCTCTGGGAAGGTGCCAGCAAGGAAGAGGCAGAAATGGAGGTGAGAGGAGGGTATGTGTGTGTGGGTGCAGAATCTGTCCATGAGACTTGGAAGTCAAAGGTATAACCAGAAAGAGTCCAAAGAAGTGGAACTAATTCGAGGTGTAAAGTCGGGACTTGATGTGGATTCCTACTGCTGAACTTTTCTGGCACTCAGTTTCCTCATTTGTGAAGTGGGGAGAGTAATTGCTTCCTTACAGATTGCTGAAAGAGTACAATGGGGTAAAGTGTTTTTAGGGCCTGGCTCAGGGTAGGTGCTCCTTCTGGAGTTCTGTCTAGCTGTAGCTGTGACAGCACTTATAATGCCCCCTCCTCACCTAGGAGCTCCCTAAAGATCAGTCAGCATTACCATGGAGCAGGGACGGTCTTCTCTATGTCACAGCTGAGGGACACCCCTCTGTCTGGCCTGGAGGCCAAAGAACATGGAGTTATTTCCTCCGCAGCAGCCCAGGGTAGGACTGCCAGCACAGTGCTGTTTTTCCCAGCTTGGGTCTGGCCTTTGGCGAAGAGTGCATTGGGCTGGGGCCTGTTGGGGTTTAGAAAGACAGCTTTCAGAGGCACAGTGGGCAGGGAGTGAATGATCCACTCTGAGAGAGTATCGTATGTGTGCATGTGTGTATACGTGTGTATGTGTGTGTGCACGTGCATGTAAGAGAGACAGATGATGAAGCTAGAAGTGCTGGCATGGATGAGCTGTCCCAGCCTCAGTCTCAGTGGAATGAGCAGTGCGTCTTCGGTGATGCCTTGACCCTTCCTCTCCTCGTCTCCCCTACTCAAGTTTCCGCATTCTGAGGTCTGGTTCTAGGGGTCATCAAAGAGGGCAAACAAATATCCCAGGACTGGGAGTTCCTTCAGTGCACAGAGCTTCCTGATGACTGCTGGGAGCTTGGCTGTGTGCCTCAGTGTTGGGGAGGGAAGCGGTCACCTCAGCCCAGGAGATCAGGAACACTTGCAGGGCCCTGTTCTATTTTCTCTGGCTTTGGGCATCCCAGGTCAGGCTTGGATATTTTGTGCAGTGCTTTGAACATCATAGGTGCTCAATACATGCACGCTGGTGTCTGCTACTGCTCCACAAGTCTTAGTGTGTGAATATAGTCTGAAATTGGTCTAGTCTGTAATCAGTGCATTGTAGACATGGAGAGACTGAGGCAGCCCCCAGACACCTGCTCAGAGCCTCAGGCCGTGCCTGTGCATGGCTGTCTCTCCACTCCTCTCCTGGGGGAGAGAGCCCACAGGGTAGGTGGGCCCTTTTCCCTCTTGTGTGTGCTCTCTACTCCATTCCCCCTCCTGCCAGCATGATCAGTTAGCAAACATTTACCAAACCCCTGCTCTGGGTTTTCCATCACCCTTAGTATAAAGTCCCCACCCTGACTGCAGGGACTTATGGGGCCTAGATTCAGCCTACTCTGATCACAACCACACTGATTAGCCAGGCTGGCTTCAGCCATTTTCCAGCTCAGGGCCTTTGCCATACCATTCCCTCTTCCCTTCCTGTGGCTGCTGGCTCTTGTTTAGCCTTAAGTTCTTACCTTCTAGATGTCACTTTTCTCCAGTATGCCATCCCCAACCACCTCAGCTAAATGTAGTGGCTCCTTTCCATATTTTATTACATTCTGCTTCCTGTTCATTTGTTATTTGTTTGTACTTGTTCATCATCTGTCATCACCATTAAAATGGAAGTTCCGTGAGGGCAGGGACCCTGTCTGTTTTGTTCATCATGTTCCTTGGTGCCTGGTTGTTAGTAAATAACTGATGGTTGGATGATAATAGCTGACATTTATTGAATGTTTTATCTGAGGCAGGTATTGTCTTAAGGACTTTACCTGTGTTCGTTGTTAGATCCATATGACAATCTTGTGACTTCAGTTGCTAGTATTACCTCCATTTTACAGATGATGAAGCTAAAGCACGGGGAGTTTAAGTAACTTGCCCAGTCACTCTCTAGTGAGTAATAGTCAGGAATCATCCCGGAAAGTCTGGCTCCAGAGTTTGTCTTTCTGACTAATGTGGTATGGCCTCTTGGCACAATGAATGAATGAATGAATGAATGAATGAATGACAAATGGTCCCTGTCCTCAAATGTTTCACAGCCCAGACAGGGCAACAAGCATAGACACATACAGCAATGATCAAAAGTAATGGAGATCAGGCAGTTGGAGGGCCGTGATGGTTGGTGAGGTCTGTCCCAAGGGGTGGAGGGAAATCCTCAGAGAGGAGGAAACAGATGAACTGGGCTTTACAAGCTGAATAGGAGTTTTCTAAGTAAAAGGGAAGGGAAGGCGTTCTGGGTTTCCCCAGTTTCCCAATGACTGGTTTCTCTTCTTCCCCACAGGAGAAGGTGCCTTGGGGCACCTCCATTTCACCGTTTTAACTCTTGTCCCCCTACCTCCAGGTCCTCACACCAAAGTCGTGCGACGCATCTTCACCAACAGCCGAGAAAGATGGCGGCAGCAGAATGTGAACGGGGCCTTTGCTGAGCTCCGCAAGCTGATCCCCACACATCCCCCAGACAAGAAGCTCAGCAAGAATGAGATCCTCCGCTTGGCCATGAAGTACATCAACTTCCTGGCCAAGCTGCTCAATGACCAGGAGGAGGAGGGTACCCAACGGGCCAAGCCTGGCAAGGACCCCGTGGTGGGGGCTGGTGGAGGAGGCGGTGGGGGAGGGGGCGGTGCACCTGCAGACGACCTGCTGCAGGACGTGCTCTCCCCCAACTCCAGCTGTGGCAGCTCTCTGGATGGGGCCGCCAGCCCGGACAGCTACACAGAAGAGCCGGCACCCAAGCACACGGCCCGCAGCCTCCATCCTGCCATGCTGCCAGCCGCTGATGGAGCAGGTCCTCGGTGATGGGGCCAGGGCCACTCAGGACCGGCCAGGAGGGCAGCCTCAGGCTGCTGGGACCGTGGGCTTCGGGGCAGGTGGGGTGAGGATTGGGCAGCTCTGAAGCAGGGCAGTGGACTTGATGAGCCTTCCTTGATGTCTGAACTTTGGGAAGTCTTAACTGCCCCGGCTGGCTTTCCTGTTTCCTGACTCAGTGGTAGAACAGAAAAATGGAGCAAAGTGGTAGGTACTTTTTATGAAGACGGCACGGTCTTCCCCTCCCCCAAATCCCTAAGACTTTAAAGTAAAGAGCTCAACTGGCACTGCTTTTGGCCTGGAGCTTGGGACCCCCGTCTTTGCTGAGACTTGGGGTTGTCGGCTCTCCCCTGGGGCATCCAGCAGCCTCTGCCTTGCCTTCAGCACCACCCCCCCCCCCCCCAAGCTGGCTGGAGTGGCTTGTGTGGCCACTCTGTCCAAATATGTAGGTACCTGGTAGCTGCCCATTTCTGGGTGAGCCCCATCTTCACCCAGGCCCATGTTGGTCCACCCAGCTTGCCAGCTGCCGCAGAGAGTCACAAGCCTCGAGGTGCCTTCTTCAGGGCCTGGTTGAAGAAGATGGCCAGTGGACAGCCTGCTCTTGACTAGCTGGGCCAGAGGGTCAGAAAACCCAGTAGCCCTTACTCTTGCCCCAGGATCAAAGCTCTGCTTTCTCCCCACTGAGACTTGCCTTCCTAATCCTTGTGGCTGTGGGGACCGAGTCCGTAGCTGGGAGCATGCCCTGTTGGGCCTCATGTGAAGGCAGAGAGAGGGAAAGTGATTAGAATGAGTTGAGCAAGAGCTGTTTAGGGCTGTGGGTTCACATCCCGATGGTGTCTCAGAGCTTCCTGCCTGTATTCTGAGCTCCCCATCACTGTACGGTGAACGAGTGCCAGTGTGCCGATGGGCATGTGCTTGTGCTGACAATGGATGCACAGCCCCATCTGTGTGTCCTCGCAGATGCTCAGAGGGACCTTCTCACCCCCAGGAAGTCTGTTTGCTGATGGTCTGGTCTGTGTTCTGAACTCAATTGAGCACAAACCCTGTCCTGTGAATTTCTGGCATTTGGGATTTTTGCTTGACTTCAGTTACTGGTGGGATCTTTAGGTCTTGATAGGACCCAGGCGCCAGCCCCCTTCTGGGGCATGGGAAATCCAGAGACCAGAGACCAGGCCCTGGCTGAGACCCAGACATATGCACAATCACTTAGCAGAATCTTCAATACCCCTCGGTTATACAGCTTTCAGTCACCTAGGGTGTGTATGGGAGGCTGGCTTACTGCAATAAGAGTGTCCCCCTCCAAAAGTTGTACATGAAAGTTTTGTAAATCAAACCCTTATCCTTCATCTTTTGAAGAATTACTACTGCAAGTCCTTTTGTAAAGTGAAGAATTTTTTTGTAGAGTGGACCCACTGTCCTGTTGATCTCTTGTGTCAATCCACATGGTGGGACATGGTTTTCTTAAGGCCAGGCCTGCCTGTGACATGCATTCCAACCCCGTGGAACAGACTCCACCCAAGTCCTATATACCTGTCATTGTACCCTCAAGTCACCGCAGCCATCTCCCACCAGGCTCTGCCTTTGGGGTTAGAGGGAAAACAATCCCTTGTGGTGAAGGACCTTGAGCACAGCCGAATGCAGATGGCATGATCCCTGCTCCCTCCCCTCCCTCTTAGGTTGTGGGGTCCAGTTTGTGAGTAAGGGGGGAACATAGTAACCCTTATAGTACCATTCTTCATCCATTTAAGACCCCCAACATCCTATTTTGGTGAACTTAGGATTGGTTTCAGTACTTGGAAGCTCCTGTGAGGAATCCCATCTGTCTAAAGATGGAGCCCCTGTCCTAGGTCCTAAGACTCTACCTCCTGGCAGAGTAATTTGACTTGGGAGTGAAAAGTGGCCACAGTATGGATGAGTGGAGACGATTTAGGAGATGATCACACATTCTGTCAGGAACTCCAGCTTCTGGCTTCCTCCTCTCTCAGACAATATGGATGTTACCTCTCTCGATGTCAGTTTCTCATAAACACCCTGGTCTCCTAGAGCTGTGGTGTAGACTGAGTGGAATCACGAAAGTAGCATTTTGAAACCAGAAAGAACCCTTCTGCCCTCAATATCATTGCTGCAGTGGGGTTTCTCACCCTGAGTGCGGGGCCTGGGCAGTGGGCCAGCCTGCCTGACTGCATAGCATTTGAGTAATCTAGGTTCCAAACCACTTTTGCCTGGATTATCCCGATTGTCCACATTTCTCCAGATTGACCTCATTTTCGTTTCCTTCCAAGGGGAGGCACAGGAGTAAGAATGGAAAAAGATACGGGCGGAATATGTAAAACGTAATACAGCTTCCCCAAACTGGCCTGGGTAGGGAATGGTAAGGCTTCATGTCTTTGCAAGACCTACAGAAGATCCAAAATTTTCATTTTCATGTCCAACTGCGCACCCCCCGCCCCACCCAGCATACCCTTCTTCTTCCTCTGCCTCACCTGTAAAGAGATGGCAACATTCCAAGAATCATATTTCTGCAAAGGGAAGGAATGTAAAGGAAAAAAAGTGTGGAGAAGAGAGATGATTGTAATGACCGGAGGGATTCACGTCTTTTCAGGAAAATTCACATGCTTTTATTGGTGGTGGCAACGACAAGATGGTACAACCTTTATCCTATTCCGAAAACAGAACAGAGGGCACAGCATCTGTAGTCAGCTGACAACTATCTTGGCCTTTGGGGCTGGTCTGGTCTCGTACTTGTGATTTCGATGGTACGTGGCCGCCACCAAAGGCTTGCCCTTGCCCCTGTACATAGCGCGTTGTCCCTGTGGGCGGGCCCAGCACTTTCCGTCAATGTTGTACTGTACGTGATGAGTTGTGTTGGTCTCCGCATTTTTCTGCAGAAGGGGAGTAACCGCTCCGGGTACCTTGACCTTTGTACAGCCGGGAGGCCAACACTGTGGGCGTGACTCTTTAGTGACAAAACCCTTGTGGTGATGATGTGTGTATATATATATAAGGATATATTGGGAAGATTTCTAAATAAAAGTTTTACAAAGGGGCCTGGACTCTGTACTTGGATCTTGCACCCCCAGGCCTGAGAGTTGGGACATTAAAAGGAAAGGTCTGACAAGAGTCTGTCTCCCTGGATATAGAGGGGCCTCCAGGACTCAGCTGTTCCCTCAGGGTGGGATGATCCCACCCTGAGGCTCCCCGCCTTAGAGGTTCCATTCTTTTCCCTCTCCCAGGCCTCACAGAGGGGGCCTCTTCTGAACATTGTGTACCTGTACTTGCGGCGCAGGGCCACCCCGCAGGTGGCCTCCTCTGTGTGCTGGGTTCAGCCTGTATGGCTGGGGCAGTGGCTTTCCTCATAAGTTCAGGACAGATTAAGGTCTCACCAGAGGATGGTCCCAGGTGCTCTGATGACTCCATGGAGGCTGCAGCTCTAATACCTGACTCTCGAGGATTGGGGGGTGCAGGTCTCATGTGGGGCTCAGGGACAGGCTGAGGCTTTGGGAGAAGTGATCAGTGAGGGGAGGCTTAGGAATGGAAATGCCGTGACGGACGGGGACTCTGGGTTCGGGGGGCAGAGAGGGCTCTGCATATGGACTGTTGGAACTTCAGGGACCTCAGTGGGTTAGCATTTCCAGTGGAGTACCAATCCTTCCATGTAGTCGTGTTTTTTGAGCCCTACAACGGGCCAGGCATCATTCTAGGTACTGGAGATCCAGCAGTGAAGAAAACCAAAATCCCTGTTCTTGAGTTGCTTGAATTCTAGCAAGGAGACAGTAAGCGCGCACACGCACACACACGCATATTAAATATGCCGATTATGGTGTTGATACAGTGAAGTTACAGCACATTAGAAGGTGATTAGTAGCAGGGAAAAAAGATGTGCCCAGAAGGGAACTCAAGGGGCCCCTGGATGACTCTGGCTCCTTTGGGATTAGCCTTGCTCATCTTGCCAGGCTTTGATCTTGGCTGCACCTGTCCTAGGAAGCTTCCAACCATACTCTAGGAGGGCCAGGGCCATGCAGAGCTTGAGGGTCAAACTCTGGCCTGTAGGGAAGCTCCTGAGCTTTTAGAAGACTCCCAAGTATGCATCTCCCTGGCCCAGGGCAAGGAAGCCTTTGGGAAGATAGAAAGAGGAGAGTTGGTCCTGGGGCAGGAGAAGGGGGTTCGGGTGGTGAGAGAGGGGGTGGAGGAGAGAGAGAGATGCATGTTCATGCAAGCAAGAGAGTGACGTTTCGGAAGCTATAGTGAAAGGGGGTTTGGGGTCGAGGAAGTGGTTAGCCAAGACCAATGCAGTGATAGCCGAGGCTCTGGTGAGGATGGCATCTGGGGAGGAGGAGAATGGGAAGGGAGGAGTACCTATTTCCAGGAGGATCTTTCCCAGGAGAGGGCAGGGACTCCATTTACAGAGAGGTGAGGAAGACCTGACTCTGTGGCCACCAGGCAGAGTCTGTGGGGCTATTGACTGCCCAAGTGGGCCAGGCCCTTGGGGATCGTTTGGACTAGTGTCTCCATCTTCAGATAGGAAGACTGAGGCCCAGAGAGGAAGAGTCTTCCCAGGGCCACACATCCAATGGACAATGACAATAGTGGCAGGCAGGGCAAGACTAGACTTCCTGCCTCCCTTGGGGACACCTTCTGCCCACCTCAGGGAAAAGACCATGTTCTCGCCATTCCACCCATTCCACTATTTGCTTTCTCTGCCCCTATTGTATTCACCTTTCTGTCCTGGCTGCCATTGTGTTTTTAACCGTTCGGTTTTGCACTTTTTGTTTCTATCTATCATCTGCTTCCATCTTCCTTTCGTCTGGCTAAATTGTCCCCAGCATCCAGAAGTCTGTCCTGACTCTATGGGGCTTCCCTTCCCTCTGTGCTCACTTGTCTGCTTCCCCAATCAAACATGAGCCCCCTGAGGGCCAGACCATGCCTGATTGGTCTATTGGCCTCCAGTGCCCCATGGCAGACCTGGCATGGGATCCTTTCAACATTGACTGAATGAAGAGGTTCCCACGTATGGAAACTCCTAGCTCAGTGTTGAGGCCAGCATGGAATGAGAGGGTGGGTGGGATAGGTGTGAGGCTGGGTCATCCCTACAAAGATGCCTCCTGCAATGTTCTCCCCCACCCCACCCCACCCCCACCCCGGCCGAAAACCACAGCTCTGGGCTGGTTGGGGCAGATGGACAGCTCTGCTCTTGGGGCTGCTTCTGTTGGTGGGGAGGCGGGGTGTGAGCTTTCTGGGGCTGGGCCCCAGTGGCCTGGTTATCATACTGGACCTGGGTGGGGCGAGGTGTGGCTGATGAAGATCAGGAGGCTGTTTATCCCTGTGCTCATAGCAGCCCTGCCCCCTTGTGCTGCCCACTCCCCCTTCTCTACGTGCAAAACAACTAACGGTGCTCTCTCTGGCCCTATGGCTGATGTGAGCCAGGCCAACACATCTGACCAATGTGCTGAGGACAGGCCATGGTGCTGGGCCATCATGAGTCAGAGTGAAAGGAGTAAGTCAGGACACCCAGAGCATCCTCTCTGTTGTCCAGAGAAGGAAATGAGGCCTAGAGAGGGGGATGGGGTTTTACCAGTTACTCAGGATTTGAATTCAGGTCTGAGTCCAAAGCCAGTGTTCACTGCCCTTCAAGAGAGGAAGAAGAAATAGTCCCTAAGTAGTTGGGTGTTTTTAGAGCAGACAGGCCCATGCTGTGCTGTAGAATCTGCCCAGGACCATGAGTAATTGGTGGGGGCACTGGAGAGCTTGCCTATAGCAACAGGCTCAGCTTGAGGACAGGCAGTAAGCACAGTCGATGTGGTGTCAGTTCAGGAAGGGAGAGGCCAGGACATGGGTGGGATTGAGCAAGAAAGGCAGAAAGAGAGGCGCTTTGTGGGCCACAGAAGGAGCCTAGGCTTGGGGTCAGACTTATCTGGGTTTAAATTTCAGGACTACCACTGATTGTACTGCTGTGTGACTTTGGGTAAATCACTTACCCTTTCTGAGCTTCAGTTTCCTCATCTGTTAAGTAAAGATATTAACTCCCATCTTACAGGGCTGGCATGGGATTTCAACATAAGCTATATAAAGTGCTTGTGTTTTATAGAAAGAGCCATTGTTATTGCTAGCAATGGGTTTGGGACAGGGCTATACCTGGGAACGGCAGAAGAGAGAAAGAGGGCAGAGGGAAGTGGGAACACTAATCATTCACAGCAGCAGGAACTTCTCTGGACCCGCCACATGCTGGGCGATGCTGGGCGATGCTGGGGGGCCAGCAAGGGACTTTCCCTGTCCCCTTGTCCGAAGGGGGCACGAAGGCTGGGTGGAAGCTAGGTGGAGGGGAACAGATCCAGAACATTACAACCCCAGAGGAAAGCGTTGTGAGAGAGAGAGGCCCGAGGCTGAGGGAGGTCTGGCTCTGGCCCTGCAGGCCCAGGGTAAATGTTTGCTGAATTGAAAAGAGCCTGGGGAGGAGGCTGGAGAAGGCTTCCTGAAGAAGGTACCATTTCCCGCCTGCCAGGTGCCTTTGCAGGGAAGCACAGCCTGTCCTGAGCTCCAGCATCTTCTCTTAATGGCAGATGCAAGTTGCTCCGGGGATGTTGGTCCTCCCTCCTGGGTGCCCTACTCCTGCCAGGCCACCTGGGGTCAGGCAGGGCTGGGCTGCTAGAGCTACCTGATGCCCACTGTGACATTCCCTCTGGCTCCTCCTTTCTCTCGCCACTCACTTGGTCTGAGCCCTGCCTCCCTCCCCAGCTCCTGGCCTTCTCTGTCCACACAATAACAGGATGTGATCCGTTCAAGAGAGGAAGTGGGGAGGACGGGCAGTGCTGATAGCGCATTTCTGACTCTCTGACTCTCCACTCCACACCTCCCTTCCCCTCCTCCCCTCCGGGCTGCCTTCCATGAGGCTGCCTCCTCCCCAAGGCCCTGCCTGCTTTGAGAGGGATGAGTTTGGGGTCTTCCGGCTTCTCAGGCCTGTGTAAGCCTATGGAAAGGTACACGCTGGCCCACTGTGCGGCCTGCTCTTCGGGCTCCGGCTTTGCTGACCTGCAATTGTCTGAGACACTGAGACTCAGGGAGGCTTGCCTGACAAGTTTTGGACTCCAGGGTATTTTCTGGAGCAGCTGGAGCATGAGGGTGGGCAGGTGAGTCCCTCTGCCTCCAGATCAGCAGGGCTCCACCCACACACCTGTTTCCTTGTGGGCCTGATCCAAGGCAGTGGGGTGATAGAATCAATCAAAAGGGGCTCGTCAAGCACTGACTGTGCTCTGCCTTGCACAGTGTGGGATAGGCTGCACAGATGGGGAAACTGAGGCTCTGAGGGGCAAAGGGACTTGTTTAAACAGCATGAGTTAGGAGATAAGTTGGAACCAGAGTCCAGATCTCTTAACTCCCAACCTGGAGCTGTCTCATGCCTTTAGGCCGGCACTGTCCGATACAGCTTTGTGTGATGATGGCCATGTTCTGTGTCTGCCCAGCCCAATATGATAGCCGCTGAGCACATGCCGCTATCAAGCACTCGAAATGTGGCTAGTGTGACTGAGTAACTGAATGTTTAAGTTTGTTTAATTTGAATTAACGTAAGTTTAGACCTGTTAATATGCCAGTCCCCTAGGAAAGAGCAGGTTTTCACCGAGAGAGGCCGAGGGACCCCAGCCCCAGACCTGGGAAGCTCAGGAAGAGGAAGTGGGTCACTGAAGGCTAGCCTCACCCACCTGTGCTCAGTGTCTACAGTTTATAGCAAAGGGCGAGGCTTTTGACTCTGCTATCACACTCTGACTCGTCCCAACAACCCAATGCAAGAGGAGAGTCACTCCTCATTTTACAGATGAGGAAACACAGAGAGGTCAGAGAGGTTAAATGATTTGCCCAAGGTCAAGTGGCTAAGAGACAAGCCCAGCTGGGATTCTGACCCTGGCTGTTTGGGGAGCCAGTTCGCTCACCCCACTACAGGTGAACCCCTGAATACAGCTGGGATCACTGCAGAGAGGCACCACCCAGTCCCAGGCCATTAGGATGGGACTACTTGGAGTGGAAATGGGAGGGCTCCCCCCTACATTGTGGGAA